GATCCTCCAGGAGCCGAAGCGTGAGTGGGGGGTCGCGTCTCTGGTGCCCTTTGAAGCGCAATGTCTGTGGTCGCCTCTAGAGGGACATTGCGCTTCGTGGCTCCCATTCGTTGCATGCCCCCCTCCCTCTTCTTCACGCTCCAGGGTCGATCCTCCAGGAGCTGAAGCGTGAGTGGGGCGCATTCAACGGCAGCGAGACGTGGTTTCCCACCAATGACTGTCTCAACGTCAAGGGCGTTGCCTGCGATGGCTTTGGCAACATCTTCGCCATGTGAGTCAATCCTCTCAGTGGCTCACAGTTGACCTGTTGTCGTGCTGCTGCCTATGCTGGTGGTGGTGGTGGTATATCATTGCAGTGTGAGTTGTCCTGCGATCGACACAGGCTTGAGACATGAGCAAAATGCGATGCGATAAAATATTGCATCGCATATCGCATTATCGCAATTTTTGCGATGCGATGAAATATTGTAGCGCTCGATTTTTTTGTTCTGATTTTCGGTTATCGCGTATCGCATTTTGGGTGCGATAATTATTATTATCGCAAATGCAAATGCGATATATCGCGTGATGAGATAAAAATATCGCATCGCATTTACAGTATGTGGAAAAAAAGCCAAGTTTTTTACCGGAGAGGAAAAACGAGTGCAGAAATTAGGCACGACAAGGGTTTCATATCTATGCTAGATAGGAGATGGGAGGTGGTGGGTAGGGCAAGGAAGAAACGGGCGCCATTCTGATTCTGCAAAGGAGAATTAGAATGGCGTGTTTTTCTGGGTTTTGTGTCCCCCCCTCCAACCACAACCCTGGCGAAATTTCGAGATGCGATAAACTATATTGCATGCGATACTATCAAATTGCATATCGCATTTTTATCGCACGGCACAAGGCGCGGTAAAAATGCGATGAAAATATCGCACGATAAATATTGCATTGCATCGCGCGATATAAATTTCACAGAAAAAATATCGCAATCGCAAAAATGCGATAGTTGCGAAGCGATATGCGATGCGACATGCTCGTGTCTTGAGTTGAGCCGCAGGGTGTTTTTGAAAATTCTAAAAAAAATTCCTGCAGTTGACACGGGCTTGAGCTGAGCCGGCTCGAGCCTGGCTCGAGCCGGGGTCTAGCGTGGGAGCTGTAGCCGAGCCGGCTCCAGGTTTCTGCCGGCTCAGCCCAGCCAAACCAAACTGGGTCGAGCCGGGCCCCAGCTCGTTTTTGAGCCAGCTTGGCTCGGCTCGACCGGTACAGGGAGGAAGGGGGCCAAGTTAGTTATGGCCCTGAGTCCTCCTGGGAGACATCCTCCGTGGGCTCTGGGAGGGTTGATGAGCGCGCGTGTCAGTCAGGGGCTTTGCTGCCTACAATCCTTTTGTTGTTTTCCTCCTCTTTGGGAGGTCAACATGGGTTAGGAAGAGGTCTGGTGGTTGGGAAAACGAATCCTGGAAATGGGATTAGCATTTGCCCAACATTGTTTTTTGACCCCCCTGGGGGCGCGAGAGGCGCAGCACTGCACCAACTCGAGCCGTATTCGAGCCGCCTCCAGTCTCCAGCCGGCCTCGAGTCACGTTTTTGTGTCAAGCCGAGCCGAGCTGGCGGCTCGCCCCATTCGAGCCGGCTCGGCTCGAGGCGAGTCGGGGGGGCAAAACAAAACCGGCTAGGCTCGGCAAGAAGGCAAGCCGAGTTGGCTCGGTTTAGAGCCCATGTCTATCCTGCGGCTTATGGCGATATGATGTGTTCGGCTCCCCCCATGTGGTGTGTTCGGCTCCCCCCATGTGATGTGTTCGGCTCCCTCCATGTGCCCCTTGCAGAGACCTCCTTGGCAAGGGGCTCAAGGGCTCCATACCCACCAGCATCGGCACCATCGTTGACCTGCAGTTCCTGTGAGTGTGCATGGCCTCGCATGACTAAGTCGACTTAAAGCCCTCTGTGACCTGCAGCAGTTTCTCTGAGTGTCTGGCCAGGTGTGTGTTTGTGCCGGTATGAGTGGGGGACTGGGGTGAGTGTGTACTTGTGAGTGGGGGACTGGGGTGAGTGTGTACTTGTGAGTGGGGGAATGGGGTGTGGCTATGTGAGGAGTGTGATGCTGTGCGTGTAAGGTGTTGCTGTGCGTACGTACGTACGTACGTACGTACGCGGCTTCCATGCCTGTGCTGTGCATGCCGAGTCGACCTTGTGTGGCGCCCGCCCGTGGCCCGCCACATCCCCAAGTTCCTTCCTTTGCCCCTCACATCACTTGTGTGTTTGTTGCGTCGCCGCCTCACCTATCCCTCGGTTGATTTTTGAGTCGGCTCAAGAGTCATCTGACCTGCGTTGCTCTTGAGAGTTGAGTCCTTTACCTTGCCACCACCACCACAGCCACCGAAACGGAGTCATTTCTGGGGGTCCTTCACAAGTTGGTTCACAGGAGATCTGACTGCTTTGCCACGCGGCCCATCACGACCACTGCAAGCAAGCTCTCGTTCACTTCTCACCAACTCAACTCCCATCGGTGCCGCCTCCTCAGCTGCAGCATCGACTGACTGACCTGCCCGTCCAGCTCCCTTCAGCTCCCTACAGGCTGCCGGCCCATCCAGTCATTCGCATCGGAGCGGCCCATCCGTCTCTCACCACGTGTCGCGATCCCTCTTTCTCTCTCTTTCTTTCCTGCACCCTTCTTTCGTGTTTTATGATTCTCTAAAGGACACCCACTTTCGACTGTCACCGCAGGACCCTAGGCAAGCATAAGGACCCCGGGGGAAGGATTCACCTCACAGGAAATATTTGCGAGGCGCAGCACAGCCTGCCTCACAGCTTGGCTCGCAGCCTTGACAATCGTCTTCTACTGAATCATCACAGCCTGCGTGCCTGCCCACCACCCTCACAGGATCCTGGGAACTCTGTTCACTGGGCCCCTCCCACCCACCGCACCATCCTCCTGGGAAATACCTCCCGTTTGAAACCAGAAAGCCCGCCCTTTCCACCCACCTGTGCAGGATTCTGAGAAATAATGAGCTCACAGGGCCCCTCCCACCGTCTTTCGCCGGCTCTATGAACGAGCTGTGAGGAGGGGAAGAGGGGAGGGGGTTAGGGGGGGGGAGAGAGGGAGAGGTCTAGGTATGTATTAGGAGCCTCTGACTCAGCTCAATGGGTCCCTCCCACTGTCTTTCGTCAACGATTCATTGAACGAGCTGTGAGGGGAGGGAAGTGGGGGGGTGGGTGGGGGGTGGAGGAAGGGGAGAGGTCTAGGTATGTTTGAGGCGCCTCTAAACCAGCGCGCTGGGCCCCTCCCACCGCCTTTCATCAACTCTTCCGTTATGAATGAGCTGTGAGGAAGGAAAGGGGGGGTGGGTGGGGGAGGAGGGAGGGAGGCTGGGGATACTTGAAGCTGACAGGAGTTAGGGCGAGAGAGGGGATTGGTAGGGTTGGGTTACCTGGTTTACAATCGACCAGTCAATTCATGTGACGTGTCGTTGGGAGTTAACTGATGCTAATGCGATGCTGGCATCATGCATGCATGCACACACACATCATGCTGCCGATGTCATGCTGACTTCATGCAACCCAACATCATGCTGCTGGCATGTCGCTGTCATCTTGCTGCTGACATGTCGTTGTCATCATGCTGCTGGCATGTCGCTGTCATCATGCTGCTGGCATGTCGCTGTCATCATGCTGCTGACATGCCGTTGTCATCTTGCTGCTGACAGACATGTCGTTGTCATCATGCTGCTGACATGTCGTTGTCATCATGCTGCTGACATGTCGTTGTCATCATGCTGCTGACATGTCGCTGTCATCATGCTCCTGATGCCAGGATCAGCAATGATGGGCGCAGGGATCTTGGGTACAGCCAGCTCAGCGACACAATCGAGTTTTGAGACGTCCTAAATCATGCTGCTGTGATCACATCTCACTGACATGACATGTTCCGGATGCCGTTTTTGGCACAATGGGCAATGATGGATGCAGGGATCTGGGGTTCAACCAGCTCAGCGGCACAATCCCTGCAAAGTACAGCCGGCTCGGAGGCTTGATGCGACTGTGAGTGCTGCGCATGTGAGAGCTGCTCGCGTTGTGTTACTACTGTAACTTCATTGTCGCATCTACATCATCAATCAACCCACGCTTTGGTCCATCCCCAGGAACGAGTAACTGCCGTCCGCCGTCATCGATTTCGCTTTCCTTGACGGACGGCAATTACTGATTCAACCCCCCATGACTACACATCTGATAAATAACCCCATGACTATTCCATGCCACAGACAGACTGATAGAGATCATGATCATGTGCCATGTTAACTACCATGTCTAAGCTCAGGCCCTTTCACCCATGCCCCCATTTGTTTCTCCTTCCTTCTTGGTTTCGCGGATGTTGTATTTTCCCTCCTTGCCCATCTGTGCTCGTCTTTGTTGCTCTCACTCACTATCCAGTCATTGCCGGTTCCTTTCCCCTGCTCCTGCCTCTACCTTCAACCCCACCTGTTTCTCCCATCCCCCCACCTGTTTCTCCCATCCGCCCACCTGTTTTTCCCATTTGCCCGCCTCTAGCTCCTTGCTTGTCACCCCCCGCTTTCCCATCCCCTCCCCCCCCTCACTCCCTCCCTGACCATCCTCCCTCTTTTCACAGTTTCGATTGCCCCCTACCCCCCCCTGCTCCACCCTCTCCCTTCCGTGTGCTCCCCCCCCCCTCCACGTATGCTGCTCGGCAATCAGCCGGCTGGACAACAACCAGCTCACAGGCTCGATTCCTGTGGATATGCTGACAGTCCTGCGCAACCTTGTAACCCTGTGAGTGAGCAATGGCCTGGTGACTGTGACTTCTGAGTCGACTCAAAGGTTGTTCCCGTGGGTCGTGGGTCGTGGATGTGTTGTTGTCGCGCGTACTCAGCCCTCAAGCCAGCTGTGTAAGCAAAGCAGCTGGCTGGCTGGCAATGTGGCCCTGTGTGTTGGTTCCCGTGGACATGTTGACATGGTGTCTCTCATGCTCAACTGCTGGCTTGTGGTACCTGATGGCAACCAGCTATCGGGCACCACATCCAGCGTTCTCAGCAACCTTCAGCTGCTCTTTCTCTCCTTCTGTCTCTGCCACCCGTCCCTCCCCTCTCTTTCTGTCTCTTACTCTCTCTCCTCCCCCCTCCCCCTCCCCCCCCCCTCTCTGTTTCTCCCAGTCGTCTTGACGGCAACCAGCTAACGGGCACCATACCCAGCTTTCTTAGCAACCTCGAGCTGCTCACAGACCTGTGCGGTGCTGACCCTTAGCAGGCTCGTTCGTTCGCATCGCACCACCACACCACCCAGCGACCAGCAAGCAGCCTCCTTCTGGGCCGTCTGTTGTAACTTGTACCGACGATGCTGTTGCAATGCACTGAGAATTGGGATGGGAATCGGCTCTTAATTATAACTGCTTACCGGGCTGTCTACTGGCAGCTGGATTGTCTTATCTGAACGCACCTGAAAAAAATGATGCCACATGGCCGAGCCTCCAAGAGACTCTACTTCACTCTCCATGCTCACCAAGCACTACTTGGTCCTCCGTTGACCTCTGTTGACTGCCGGTGACCTAGGCTGACCTCTGTTGACCTCCGGTGACCGAGGCTGACCTCTGTCTGTTGACCTACGGTGATCTAGGCTGACCTCCGTCTGTTGACCTCCAGTGACCTAGGCTGACCTCTGTCTGTTGACCTCCGGCGACCTAGGCTGACCTCTGTCTGTTGACCCCCGGTGATCTCGGCTGACCTCTGTTGACCTCCGGTGACCTAGGCTGACCTCTGTCTGTTGACCTTCGTGACCTAGGTTGACCTCTGTCTGTTGACCACCCCTCCCCACCCCTCCCTCCATTGCAGTGGCCTGAACAACAACCAGCTCTCGGGGTCTTTCCCAACCACGTTCGACAACCTCCGTGGGCTCCGATCTCTGTATGCCATGCCATGCCATGCCATGCCATGCCATGCCATGCCATGCCAAGCCGTGCCATGCCGTGCCATGCCGTGCCATGCCATAGACATGGGCACAAGGTCAAGCCGGGCGACCCGAGCTGGTTTTTCTTTGTAACCGGCTCGACTCGAGGGAGGAGGGAAGAGGTCTAGGTATGTATGAGGCGCTTTTCTAGGGTTGCGTTTTTCTTTGCTTCCACCAGATAGTTTCTTCCTACCCCGAAGCCACCAACACACCGTACTTTAATCGAGTAGAACCTAGCTATTGTGTCTAAGAAGTACTTTGGGGCAGTCAGGCTAGGGTTTAGCAGAAATCTTCCGGTAGTGGTTGGAATCTCGCCGATCTAGTGTTTTATTTGCATTTTGGTCTACTAGCCCCTAGACCCTTGCGCTACAACTGCCAACGCACGTTTTTCCATGCTATGCCATGCCATGCCATACCATGCCATGCCATGCCATGCCATACCATGCCATGCCATGGCATGTGGCACACACTGCCATGGTGCATGTATGCGATGCTAATCCTTCCCTGCGGCTCCTCCTGTTTCCTTTCATATTCCCGCACAACATCACACACATATTCCTCCTGTCTCTGCGAAGCACGTGAGCTGACTCTTGTGTCGACTCAACTCAAAGTCACCAGGGCAACTGTCACAGTAGCACCCCTCCCCGTGTCCCCCCGTCACACCCAGTCCCCCTCTGTCCTTTCCCGTCTCTATCCTACCCCCCCCCCCCCCCTTGTCTATCCTTGTTTTTTTAGTCAACCCTAAAGCCCTCCCTACCCCCCATGCTCCCCTGTCCTATCCTCTGCAACCAGGGACTTGAGTGGCAATCAGCTGTCGGGAAGTCTGCCTTCACATGTCGGCTCTCTGTGCCAGCTCCAGTCTTTGTGAGTGCATTCTGCGTGGGGGGGCCCGCTGCTGCAGATTCTGGGTAGAATCAATGGATCTCCAGTCCAGTTGTTGGGTGGGAAGTTGGGAACGCTCCCTACTAGTGAGAGTCGCCGCTGCACGGATCTCCAGCCCCCTGTTGCTGTGAGTGGCATGGCGCCTGTACCTTTGGGTCGATTCAGTCAGAAGCTGTCGCTTTTCTCTGTCTTGGCCTAGCCTGTACCTAGGTTTTTCATCAATACACGGACCGCTTGAGTGGAGAGAGAGTCTGCAATGCCCCGGCTGGCTCCCTCCATGACTAGCAGTTTATAAATCACCAGTGACTCACCACCTCTTCTGTCCTGTTCTCCAGCACGTTGTTCCTGTGTCAGTCGTCCTCACTGCGATGTGATAAGAGTCATGCTCTGACCTGAGGCGTCTCAAAGCACTGCTCTTTCTTACCACGCTTGCCCAAGAGCCCTCAGGCTGAGTCAACCCTCGGGTGTCGTACTACTGATGCGGCTAAGCAAGACTATCACACTGTGTGGTGTGGTGTGGTGTGGTGTGGTGTGGTGTGGTGTGGTGTGGTGCATGCTCACACACACACCCCTGCCGTGCGTGCCTCAGGTCCCTGGCCAACAACGAGTTCTCAGGCTCAATCTTCAATGACATCAGCAATCTCACCGACCTCTACTCCTTGTGAGCTCTTCTCCTTGTGACGTCCACCGCCATGCTCAGCTGTCTCATGCCACCCTATGCCATGCCATGCCATGCCATGCCTGGGTGCACCATGCTATACAACAACCATTCCTTGCTGCTCCCTACCCTTTTTTTGCCCCTCCCACCGTCCTTTCCTTACGACTGCCTTTTCTTGCATCCTCATCCCCTCCCCCCCCTTTCCTCCCCCCTGGTTGTCCTCTGTCACCCGTCAGTGATCTCTCCAACAACCAGCTCTCTGACACCATTCCTACAGAAATAGGCTACCTCAGATCGTTGCGGTTCCTGTGAGCGCCCCTGCTGCACTTCCTCCCATCGCCCATCGCCTCGCCTCCACTCCACCCCCACTCGCCTCTCTCCCCTCCCCTCTCCCATCTCCCCTCTCCCCTCCCCTCGCCTCCTCCCCTTCCCCTCCCCTCTCTCCCGTCCCCTCGCCTCTCTCCCCTCCCCTCTCCTCTCTCCCCTCCCCTCGCCTCTCTCCCCTCCCCTCCCCTCTCTCCCCTCCCCTCGCCTCTCCCCTCTCCCCTCGCCTCTCTCCCCTCCCCTCGCCTCTCTCCCCTCCCCTCGCCTCTCTCCCCTCCCCTCGCCTCTCGACTCCTTGACATCTCAGGGTCAATCGTCAGGGACTTCAGCAATCTCACCAACCTCTTCTCCTTGGGACATCTATGACATCTATGACATCTATGACATCTATGTCATCTATGCCATCTATGTCATCTATGTCATCTATGTCATCTATGTCATGCCATGCCATGCTTGCCTGCGTGTACCATGCTATATATCAACAATTGCTTGCTGCTCCCAACCCTTTTTTTGCCCCCTCTCACCGCCGGCTTCCACCTACCGCTCACATTTCCTTTTGACTGCCTTGTTGCATCCCAATCCCCTCCTCCCCCACCCCCCCTGGTTGTCCCGTGTCGCCCGTCAGAGATCTCTCCAACAACCAGCTCTCTAACACCATTCCTGCGGAGCTATCCAACCTCTATTCGTTGATGTACCTGTGAGTAGACATGGGCACAAGCTGAGCCATACCTGGCTCGGCTCGGCTCGGCTCGCCTTATAAACGAGCCGAGCCTCTTTTTTTTGTACCCGGCTCGACCCGAGCCGGCGCCTCGGCTCGGCTCGCGCACGCGAAAACAGGCGAGTTGGAGTCGAGCCGGCTCGAGCTGGCTCGTTTTCGAGCCAGCCAGCTTACGGCTAGGGAAAGGGGGGTTTCGCGACTGTCTAATTCCAGATCGACAAACCCCCCCGCGCCCATTTTGTCTGCCAACCCTAACCTCACCACGCCGCCCTAGTCTATCGACCTCAGCCAGCCCTATTGAAACCTGCAGCTCCTCCTGATAGTTGTGTAAGATGTAGAACCATATGGTCAGCTAAACAATCTGGATAATCCCCCAGACTAGAGACCCCAAACCCCGTGGGCCCAATTAACAGCCCACACAAGCCCCCCTGACGAGCCGAGCCGAGCCGGCTCGCCAACGAGCCGGCCCCGGCTCGACCCAATTTTCACGAGCCGAGCCGGGGATCCTGAGGACCCGGCTCGACCCCAAACGAGCCGAGCCGAGCCAGGCTCGGCTCATGCCCATGTCTACCTGTGAGCGCCCCCACTGCACTCGCATCTATCGCCCAACAAGCGTGCCCTCCCATCGCCCATCACCTTGCCCTTACTCCAATTCCGTTCGCCTTTACTCCACTCTCCTCGCCTCTCTCCACTCCCTCTCGCCTATCTCCACTCCCCCTTGCCTCGCTCCACTACCCCTCGCCTCTCTCTCTCCACTCCCCCTCGCCTCTACTCCACTCCCCCTCGCCTCTACTCAACTCCCTCTCGCCTCTACTCCACTACCCCTCGCCTCTACTCCACTCCCTCTCGCCTCTACTTCACTCCCCCTCGCCTCTCTCTCTCTACTCCCCCTCGCCTCTACTCCACTCCCCCTCGCCTCTACTCCACTCCCCCTCGCATCTACTCCACTCCCTCTCGCCTCTACTCCACTACCCCTCGCCTCTGCTCCACTCCCTCTCGCCTCTACTTCACTCCCCCTCGCCTCTACTCCACTCCCTCTCGCCTCTACTCCACCCCCCCTCGCCTCTTATCCACTCCCTCTCGCCTCTACTCCACTCCCCCTCGCCTCTACTCCACTCTCCCTCGCTTCTACTCCACTCCCCCTCGCCTCTACTCCACTCCCCCTCACCTCTACTCCACTCCCTCTCGCCTCTACTCCACTCCCCCTCGCCTCTACTCCACTCCCTCTCGCCTCTACTCCACTCCCCCTCGCCTCTACTCCACTCCCTCTCGCCTCTACTCCACTCCCCCTCGCCTCTACTCCACTCCCCCTCGCCTCTCTTTCCACACCCACTGCCCCTACGGAGTGCTTGTTCTGCCTTGCTCCCCTTGTGTGCCCGTTGAGGACTTCTGGCATCCCCCCCCTTGTCGCTTCTACCTGCCCCTTTCACCCGCCCCTTTCACCCGTCCCTTTCACCTGCCCCTTTCACCTGCCCCTTTCACCCGCCCCTTTCACCCGCCCCTTTCACCCGCCCCTTTCACCCGCCCCTTTCACCCGCCCCTTTCACCCGCCCCTTTCACCCGCCCCTTTCACCCGCCCCTTTCACCCGCCCCTTTCACCCGCCCCTTCCACCCGCCCCTTCCACCCGCCCCTTTCACCCGCCCCTTCCACCCACCCCTTCCACCCGTCCCTTATACCCACCCTTCCCCAACCCCGGGACGTCTTAGAACAATCCTGAGGTGTGTGGGATCAGGGACTAGCTTTGAGACGCCTCAAAGCTGCCGTGCTTGTCAGTCTATCCATCCACCCAACAGTCGGCCTACTCGCGTGCCTTTGACCCTGCTGCTGCTGCTGCTGCTGCTGTTATGCGTTTCCTTACGTGTGCGGCGCTTGCGTTTCCTCGAGTCGACTCATAAGCTTCCTGCCTTTGGCGCTGCTGCCGTTTTGTTTCCTTCCGTATGCGGTGCTTGCGTTTCCTCTCTGTAACACACACACACACGTGGTTCGCCCTCTGGCTCTCTGTTGTACTCCACCATTCCCAGCTTCCCACCCTGTCCTATCCTGTCTTGCTAGCCTTTCACCCTATCTGCACCCATCCTGCATGCGTCCATTCATCTTGAGGCAATTTCTGGGTCGACCAAACAGCCTTGGGTCGACCGAGGAACTTCTGGGTCGAAAGAATTACGTCCGGTCGGCCATTACATCTGCATCCTCATCGTGCTTGTGGTCTTGCACTTAGTTGCTACAAACGCATTTAGCGTTTGAATGCTAGCGTTTAAAACGCTGGCGTTTGAACGCTAGCGTTTAAAACGCTGGCGTTTGAACGCTAAACGCTCATCAGCATGTCTGTGAACGCTAAACGCTAAACGCTAAACGCTCATCAGCTACGCAAACGCTTGCCCGGGCAGGGGTAATTTTTTTGCCCGGGCAGGGATGAAAATTTCCTGTGGGGAAGGAGGGAAACATGGGGGTTCTGCCAGCAAGCAATTTGGCTCGTGGAAATTTTGAAGTATGCATCCTCACATATATCGGACTACTGGCCATCTTCTGCCGACAAAAGCGACAGTCATATTTCTGTGTGGCGCCGGCTAGACATGGGTATATCGCATCGTGTTTTATCGCATTTTGCAATTGCGATTTTCTCTCCTTTTTTTTTCTGGAAAAAACACAATGATGCGATGCGATTTAATCGCGCGATTTTTGCGATATCGCGACTATATCGCGCTTTTTTAAGCGCGATATAATGCGATATGCGATTAAAAAATATCGCGCCTTGTTGGCAGATTGCTAAGCTAAATGCAAGATTTCTCTTGCTGAAATGGCGGGTGGAAATGACAAGCGCAGTTTGGGATTTGTGTAATTGATGGGGAGGTGTTTGTGTGAGGAGCTTGGAGCACATTAGAGGAAGGTTTGGGAATTCTAGATGGGAAGGAGTGCAGTGCGGTAAAAGGAGGGGAGTTGGGTGGAGGTTCAAATTTGTTATGGGTGGTGGTGGGCGGTGGCCCGTGGGTAGACATGGGCAGATTAAATCGCATCGCGTTCAATCGCGTTCTTGCGATGGTTTTTTTTTTTTTTTTTTTTTTTTTTTTTTTTTTTTTTTTTTTTTATAAATCGCGCAATGCGATGATTTGATTATCGTGCGATTTAATTTTAATCGTGATTAAATTGCGATTTGCGATTTTTTTTATGGCGCGATCTGCCCGTGGTCAAAATTCCATCGGCGTGTTTTTTTTTTTTTTAATAATATAAATTTATTTATTTATTTATTTAAGTAAAATGCAATGCGATTTAAAACCGGATCGCACGATTTCAATAATCACCACATGCGGTTTAAATAACCATCGCGCAGAAAATGCGATGTGCGATTTATTTATTTTTTCAAAAAAATAAATCGTGCGATGCAATATTAAATCGCATCGTGTTTTTTTTTTCTTCTTCTTCTTCTTCTTCTTCTTCTTTCTTTTTCTTTTTAATCGCGTCCCTGTGCGATGCGATTTGAATCGCAATCGCATTTTGATCATGTCTAGGGTTTAGGGAGGTTCAAATTTGTTATGGGTGGTGGTGGGCGGTGGGCAAGTGGGTTTTATGAATGGGATGTGGTGGTGTGCGATTGAAGGGATTTAGGGGGTTGGACTGAAATTTCGACCCCAAAAGTCAATTTGTTGAAACTCCAACCAATTTCCACCACTTCAACTGCACTAAAATCCGCTGCATCTAGAGAATCAAACCCCCGCCCCTCTAACACGCTCCACATGAGAGAGGGACCACTTTTCCCCATCTCTTGTCGAATTTCACTAACCTAACTCCGAGCGAAACTAGGAGAGCCGCCGTTGCCTTGCCATGTGGCGTGGGGAAACTTTTTTTTTAAGCGGGAAAACAATGGCTCCTAAATGCGATGTGATGTTATATCGTATCGCTGCGATCTACTGCACGATAAGACAGAATGCGATGCGATATCGCATCGCATCGCATTTTGACCATGTCTAGCTCCGTCCTCCTTGACTAGAACGCGGAAGTACTTATAAACCTTGTGATTCCTATCCGCCTCGTGTATATTTGAAGATGCGGTCGCTGTAGCGGCATCCTCAGTGCTAAGAGGGGTCGACCTGGACCCTCCCCCTTAACTGAATGTTATCTCGTGGCTAAGGTATGGCAGCTAAGATGGAAAAGTGGCTACGGCTATGGCGCGCTGCAGTTAGGGTAAGCGGTTTTGATGGGGGAGGGGATTGCGAACTTGCGTGGATCTATGAGATGTGAGGAGGAGGGGTTGGATGTTCTAGTTGACGATGTGTGGAGTGCGGTTGGGGGGGAGGTTTGTTGGGAGGTGAATTTTGACGACTTGGTTTGGAGTTGGGAATTGGCGAATGTCGCGCTGAATTCGCCAAGTCAGTTTCGCGATAAAAAATAAATTGTGCGTTTTTTTTCGGAGGGGCAGCCCCAAAAAATTCCCAGTGAGCGTTTGCGTTTTTGGGTCCGTTTAGCGTTTGCGTTCGAACGCCGCGCATCTGCCAGAGCGTTTGCAGCAATTAAGGTCTTGCATCCTCCTGCCTGCCTGGACCTCTTCCCTCTGACAGACCCTTCTCGTGCGCTCTCATACCTCCGTTGCAATCTGACCCTCTCCCCCCTCCGCTGCAGGCATCTCAACGGAAATGAGCTCACTGGGGGGGCCCCATGGCAGCTGAGTAATCTGATAAACCTCCAAGAGCTGTGAGTTGCTCCCTGTCCTGCCCTGGACTGGACTGAACTGGACTGAACTGGACTGGGCAGAGGTGACTTTTGAGTCGACTCAAAAGTGGGTCCATGGGAGCTGAGCTGAGTGCTCTGTCGGACCTCCGAGAGCTGTGAGCTGCTCCTGGGCTGGGCATTCTGCTTTTTAGGGGTCCCTTGCTTGGAGTGACTATGCAGTCCTAGGGGGTTCCTTGCATGCGCATGCGCTGACCCCCTCACAGAATCACTCCGACTCACTTAGGAGACCAATCACCATTCTTTTGGCAGCAGCGGCTGGTGGCATGTTAGCGGTTAATTGCTGCGTGCGAGGTATCAAAGAGAGTGACCCTGGCGGGAATAGTTGGACAATTGCAGAAGAATTCTGTGCTGTAATTCTGGCTAGCCACAGGGGCTGAGTGAAAACCGGCAGAGGTTTCACAAATCTGAGACTGAAACCGGAAGTGAAACCAAATCCGGAACTGTCGTGAAGTTGTCGGGAGGGGCGGAGTTTGAGTATGAGAAGGTTAAATAGATTAGAAAAAGGGGGAGCTTACATAGTTGAGAGGAATAGGAAGGGGGATTTTGGTTAGGAGTTGGCCAAGATTATGAATCGCGAATCGCGATTGCGATTTAAATCGCATCGCGACGGGGGGCGACTTACCAAAAAGCGATGTGATTCGAAACACATCGCGCGATTTAGTATTCGGGAAAATTTAAATCGCGAATCGCGTTCAGAGGGCGATTTAAATTGAAATCGCACGTGCTGATTATTTGAATAGCATGATGCGATTTCAAATCGCATCGCTTTCCTGCCTAGAATAAATACCCTCCCACAAAAGAGGGCAAAATGCCTTGCGCTCATAAACCCAATTGCGGCGTGGCGAAGTCTAACTCGAAATGGGTGTACGCCCACACTAAACCGTGGAGAATGGTGGGGTTGGGGGGAGCATGGATGGTGTGTCTACTAGGCCCGGTGCGATGAATTTCGACATCACGCGCGATTTCGTTTATATCGCGTTTCTAACCGTGATATAATGCGCATCGCACGATTTACAAAAAAAAAAGGATTGCAGTTGCAAAAACGCGATTAAATGCGATGCGATGGGATTTTTTTTGCTCATGTCTTTGGCCCCCACCAAAATTTATGGTTGGGATCATTGGGGGATCCAATAATCCCAACCTTGATTATTGGTGGTCCAAATAGCATGCTGCTTCCAAGCCTCTTGTTAGGCTTGGAGGCTTTAGCACTCTTGACGATTCTGGAAACGGCAGGCAGTGTCAAGAATTCCTTTCTTGAAGTGTGTCGCTTCCATTTTGGGTCCCTGATAGTTTCAAGAAGGCTGCGGCTTGCAATTCGGGCCGGTGCGTGCTTTAACCAAGCTTTCCCATTTGATCCTCCCATTTTCTTCAATTTGCTTTCTTGTCCCCACCTCCCCTCTTCCCCCCTCCCCCCCCCAACCTGCCCTCTTTCTTCCCCCCGTGGCCTCCCTTGGCCGCGCCCTTCAGGTCAGTGGCGAGAGAAGAGCTGGGAAGCTGTGCTGACATGGTGCCATGCCATCGCGTGCCCGCTATTCTTCCCTTTCTCCCTTCTCCCCCCCGCACCCCCCCCACCTTCCCGCCCTGCTCGCTCCCCTGCCCTCCCCTGCCCGCGCCCCTCAGGTCAGTGGCGGGAAACCAGCTCGGAGGCGGTGTGGACGCAGTGCTATCCAGCTTCACCGCTCTCACTGTGCTGTGCGTGTGCTCTGCCTTGGGTGCTGGTTGGGAATAGGGATGAGCATGAACCCGACCCGACCCGACCCGACTCAACTTTGCCCTACCCGATGTCGGGTTCGGGTCGGGTCGGGTCGGGTCAAGTTGGGTCAGAGGTCGGGCATGGTCAACCCGACCCGGGTTTAGTAGGTCGGGTTACGGGAAACCCGACTTCGGGTCGGGTCGGGTCGGGTCGGGTCGGGTTCTAAGTGGGCAAAATCGGGTTCTTGGACCCGTCGCTGTTTTAGAGACCTTAACGATGGGCCAGGTTGTTTTTAACTGTTTGGGGACCACTTTCCGGTGGTCCCCAAACAGCTACACCCTGGATAAGGGGCACATGGTTCTTGTCCCTTCTAAAACACCCTTTCTAGCCATTTACTAAAGACATTAGGTGTGTGTCACACTGTTGCTTCCACCCTTTCATGCGTATCTTGCGTTTAAGGCTGCCTACTGAGCCCTGGAAACCTAGCTTAAGATGCCATGTGAATGCAGAACAATGCTTGTTAACTAATTAGTCTTGCAGACCCCATAGCTCAATGCTGGGTTCGTCAAGGTTGGACACCGGTGCCAACCAAAGAGCATGCATGACACGACTCTAATGCACAATAGAAGTCTGGGTGGAGGATGCAAGTCACGGGATGCACGGTGATGCACATAGCCAAGGCACAACCCAACCCTCATCGTCCATGCTAAAATCCTGGTGCCACGTGCCATCCCACTCGTTGTCGGCGTTGATGGAACCAAGGGCAAAGCTCTGTGGCGCGCCGGCGATGGGCATGAGGGCAGGGGACATCCCGGGCAGCGGCGAACTGTCAACGCCGGACTCCGCCGACGCCGCGTGTGGGCCGTGCGGCCTAAACCCGCCATCCCCACCATCGCTTCTGCCCTGACCGCTACCGCCGACTCCGCCTTCCATTCGCCGCCGTGTAGGCGACCGACTCCCACAATCTAGGCCCTCCCCTGGTTCAGCCCGCTTTAGCAACCTATGGAAACCCTAAGACGCCCCTAGATTCCACGGACCAATGTCCCAAATTCTGAAAAGTGCTTGGTAAAAGCCGCGAATGCACGTAGCACTATTGTTGGAAAGCTTCCCTAGTTGCGAAAGGCAAGCATTCCCTCTCCTTAAAGTCAACGTTTCTGGAAAACGTGAAAGCAACGAAATGCGGGCTGTTTCCTTAAGAAATCGAAGTTGCTTAGGGTGAATGTCCTTTCTCTATGCCTAAGATAGAGGAGGAACAGCTGCAGCTTAAAATTCAACCGTTAGAAATCCATTGTTGCTAGGTAGGAGTGAGGGAAAGTCGAGGTCAAAATAGGAAAGTGTTTTTTCAGTTTGAAATTTCGACTATAAAAGTCGTAATTTTGAGTTCTGCGCGCAGATCGCGTCGGGTCCACGCGCGACCCGATTACGGGTCGGGTCGGGTCGGGTCAACCCGACTGCAATTACCCAAAGTCGGGTCGGGTCAACCCGACATGTCGGGTTGATCCGAACCCGTGCAAGTCGGGTTCGGGTTGACCTGACCCGACGGGAAAGAAGCAAACCTGACGAGTCGGGCTCGCCCGACGGGGAAACTGACCCGACCCGTCAAAAAGTCGGGTTCGGGTCGGGTTACCCGACCCGACCCGACCCTTTTGCTCTTGCCTAGCTGGGAATGGGAAGGGGGAAGGGGGAAAATGGGGGAGTCCCTTTCTGAGGCGCTGGGAAATGTCGTCCATGTTCAGCTCTCTCTCAAGCGGTCCGTTTATTGCTTGGAATCCTGGGTACAGGCTAGGCAGGTGGGGAGCGACAAGTCATGGTACGAGCATGTTGAGAGGCTCGGTCCTACTCGAGCTCCCCTAGGGGCTCGGCTATGGCAAAGCAGTCACCTGGCGCCATGTCGGCGTCAGGGGCGCCCACGGGGGTGTGGGGGGCAGGGGAGGCTTCATTTACTTTGCCCAGGTAAGCCAAGGCCTGCGCCCGCTGCAGCGTCACTGACCATCGTTGGCGAAATTGGTGGAGCAGTTTCGCTGCCTGGTAGGAACTTGGGTCTGCATTGAAGAGTCTCCTGGCCCCTGTGTCTGCCAGCAGCTTCAAAAAGGTAGGGACCTCGGCGCAGGGGCAGCCATATGTCTCGACCGCTAGTGGGAAGAAACCAACGTAGGGAGCCCGATTTCGGTAATGGGAGATCTTCTTGTCAGCTTGCTCCCGGGCCATGTATCCTCGTCCTTTTCGTGCGTCCGGATCCCGGCTGCTGATGGGATCTGTGACGGTGACGTCACAGATCCAGACGGCTCCGGAGCTGCGATCGCGGAGGGCGAGGTCGGCCTTGTGGCTGTCTACGGGGCTGTAGATAGTCGTCTCTTTGGTGACTATGAAATCAGCGTCCCGGGCCATCCGGATGCTCTCATCCCGCAGGGCGTTATGGGTGTCTGTCCGTCCGTGTCCAGTGCCACATCGAAGGAGGTGGTTGGGGAGCCGTGTGTCGAGGATTGCGAACTCCTCGGCACAGTTGCAGGTGCGGGGTGCGGGGAACGGAAGGCCGAGGCGGAAGGCCAGGGCAAAGGCGAAGTGTGGGGCTGCGAGGCGGAGGGATGGGAAGATTGGGACGGCATGGAGCCAGTCCCCTGCTCCATACCCAGCCAGGGAAAAAAGGCGTTGTGTGTGCCCGGAGTTGGGGTTGGGGTCCATTGTCCGTGAGGCCGCCACCTGGTCGGCGTACCGCACGGCCTGGACCTCAAGGGATAGGCGGTGTTGGAGAGGGGAGCCGGAGGGTTCCACCCGCTCAGCGTGTAGGAGCTCCAGGGCCCGGGGGGGCATCGCCATTTCACATTTCGCCAGCCAGGTATGAAAGTGAGTGGGGCTGGTGAAGGGGGCGTGAGGTGGCGGACAGAGTCCGCCAGGGGCCCTCTAGACGCCGCTGGGAGGGCAGCCAGCAGCCCCTGGGCTTGGGTGACGCTGGTGAGGAAGGCTGGGTGCCCTTCGATTGCGGGGTCGGTGAGTCCAAGCCCTCCTAGAGAGGGGGGGAGGGACGCTTGGGCCCAGGTACGCGCTCTCTCTGACTCGCCGCGTGGAGTTTGGAGGTTGCAGGCGTGCAGTAGAGTGTGGTAGAGCTCTCTGCCCCACTCCGACCAGACCTCCAGGGGTAGGAAGTCAAGGGGGGTGGTGCGGGTTAGGTATGAGACGCGCCGAGATACGCAGCGTGTGAGGAGGAGTGATGAGGACTGTGGGTCCATCGTGGCCAGTGTGGCGAGGGGTTCGGCTAGCAGGGCTAGCTGGGTGCGGAGGAAGCCGGCCGTGCCTTCCGGCGTACCGATGAAACTGCCCAGTACGCGGACCCCTTCGCTGTGGAAGGGTATGTCTGGGGGCAGGCAGGCTGTCGTGGGGCGCTCGGCTGCCCACGCCGCGCATTTTGCGGGGTTGTGGGAGAGACCAATGCGTTCCATGGCGGCGGTGAAAGCGAGGAACGCCGCGGTGCAGGCGTCCGGAGCGCCGACGAAGGTTACGTCGTCTGCGTAGGCGAGGCAGAGGACCCCGGGGTGGGCTGTCGCGGTGGCCTGGAGGGCTGGGTGGATGGCAGCCGCAAAAAGGAGGGGGCCCATGGGGTCTCCCTGGCGGACGCCCCGCGCGCTCAGCAGGGGCGGGCTTCCAAATTCCGCGTCTAGGTAGAGCAGGGAAGGAGCCCCGTACGAGAACTGAGTGAACGGAAGGAGGGGGCGTAGGGGCGAGTTATGGAGGGCGTGGATGATGGCCCCGCGGTCAACGCTGTTGAAAGCGTTGGAGAGGTCGACTTGCAAGATTAGCGATCCAGGGCACACGGAGGTGAAACTTCTGGTGGCGTGGATGATGATTTCGCCTCCGCTCCTGACTGCTACCCCGAACTGGTGTGGGAGGAAATAGTCTTGGGCTGGCTGCGTTGAGGAGATGAGGGCGGATTTAGCCGCGAGACGAAGAAGACATTCGCCAACTGCTATGGGGCGAGTGCCCCCATCAGGTTTGGTAAACGCCAGGAGGCGTGAAGAGGTCAGGAGCTGGCTGACTGCGTGCGGCAGGTTACCCTCGAGTAGGCGTTGAACGAGCTCGTGGAGGTGTTTGGCGACTGAAGGGTTGGATAGCGAGGCGTCGCGAAGGTGCTCGAAAGTCTGACCCGAGGGCCCTGCTCCCACCCCGTTTTCGCAGCGGGAAAGCAGCTTCGCGAAGTCGGCGAAGTCGACTGTCGGTGGTCTGCAGTCCTCATCTAGCTGCGGCCAGTGGAGGTCTGCGGCGAGCGGGGGGGGGTGTTTTGACTTCAGTGCATCCAAGACCGCGGGGGTGGACTTGCTGACTGGGGTCGAGGTCAATGCGAGCAGTGCCCGTCGCAAACTGCCTCGTCGTACCAAGCCCTCAGCTCGGGATATTTTCCCGAGGGTGTCAGGTACGTGGCGGGGTGGGGGTGTCAGGGTAACAGCGGAAGCGGCTGCCCGGTACAGGGTGTCCCATTCGCCTGCGAGAAATTGCCGAAGGCGATTTTCCATCGCGGGCCAATCGGGGCGTCTCGGCGACGGTAGGCGAAGGGTAAGGCGCGGGAGGTAGAGTAACAGGATCCAGCCCTCGATGGAGGTTGGATGTTTGGCGAGGAAAAGGAGGGGTGTCAGAAGGGCGAGCGCGAAAAGTTGGCGGATTTGGGGGGGTAACCGGCGGGAGAGAGGGGGTTGGCGACTGTCGCAGAGAGCCGCGATGTCCCAATTGGCGATTTCGGCGAATCGGGAGGTGTCATTCGCCAGTTCTTCCGGGGACAGCTGCGGAGCTGCCTGGGGATGGGTGTCCAGCGGTGCCCGAGTATTATGCATGCGGCTGGACCCTCGTCCCCTTGATCTGGGAGTTGGGCCAGCATCTCTTCCTCCAGCGCGCCTGTTCGACTCGACGCCTTCCTCCTTGCTGAAAGTCTCAGTAGTGGAATCTTCCTGCTCCTCGGGTATATAAGTCCCGTCCGCCCTTTCCTCCTCACCAGTTGTTCTTTGCAGTTCCG